CCTTCTATCTGCTGAGTATGTTCTGCATCTGGAGTAAGTGGAAAGGGAAGGGGAGGACAGAAAGGGAGAGAGGGGGGCTGCCTCATAAAATCCCTGTCATTTGTCCCCATCCTCCAGTCTGTAGTCTCTTAAAATCTGTAAGTTCTTCCATTAGAAAGAGTCTTTAGGATATAAAGATAGTTACATATGTACCTTCCCCTAAGCACAGAAAGAATTTAAGACATGTTATCTTTAATCTTTTAGTCCACAACAAATGCCAGAACTGGCCTGGGTAATGTCACACTTGCCACCTTACAGCAGAAACTGAATTTTCAAAGCTACTGTTAATAAATAATGTGTACAGATTGCCATAACTGCTCTCTACAAGCAGTCTAGCAGTGGGAGGTATATATGGTAATATTTACATATACTTCTCTGTACTTACTCTTAGGATCTTGTGGATAAAAATGTACAATTAACTGAGGAATCTCCTTATGAATATAGATTATATATTAATATTTTCACATCCCCAGGGAACACGTATTTCATAGAAAGTGCTGGGCCAGTGTTTCTTACAAGAAGAACCTTTTATTTTTTTAGTGGCTGCTTCCTCCCGCTGGACCCCGCATTCTACAGCCATTAGGACAAAGGACTATGGCCCTTTGTCAGCCCAGTCTGTCCATGTTTTTATCCACTGTCTGATTGCTTTAGGAACCGCACACTCTTTTATTTAGTTATGCACACAGTTGTAAGTAGCAACAAGCAAGAATTATTTTTTTGCTGGGGGAAATATTGACCAAATGGCAGAAAAATGTTGAGGAAAAATGTTAAAAGTATATGAACGTTGTTTTGTTCATGTTAATTTTGGTCTTCTGTACCCTATGATTCCCACTCTTACCTTCTTCCTGTTCATTTCCCAATTGGCACCAGAATGATAGTTTTAACATACAAACCTGATCTTGTTACTCTTCTGTTAAAACCCTTCAGAGGCTTCCAGTTTCTGCCAGGGTAAAGTACAAAATATTAACAAGGCTTTAAAAGGTCTGTCTGCATCTCCAATTTCATTTGGTGCCCTTCTCACACCCTGCCTCCTCCTCCCTCGCCACTCCCCCCCCCACCTCCGTAATCTCTACAGCTACACTGATGTTTGCCTTTTCATTCTCCAGGGCCCTAAATCACAGTAACTCATTCTTCATGTCTTAGAGTAAGCATCACTTCCGAGGAAGATAGGTACCCCTCTACTCCACACACACACTTGAGTAGCATCTTCTACTTCTCCCTTAAACACTCATTATCTAGGGAAGTTGTTAAATGTCTGTCTTCACCTCTGGAATGTAGACCCCATGACATCAAGAGTATGTTCATTGTTTTACAATAAGCTCTTAGTGCTTCATACCATATTGAAGTAGTTTCTTGCATAAGTGAGTGGATGAAATGGAGGAAGGAAAGATGGACAGATGGTGAGAGAGTTGTACTGTGAGCATTTCTTTTATTTTTTAATCTTTAAATCACACCATCCTAATTCTAAGAAATAAATTGTCCAACTATTGAAAATATCATCTATGTTTTATTTTTTACCAAAGATTTATGTTACGTATTTAAATTGAATATTACCTAAAATATGAACTAGGGAAAAATAACTAGAAAAATTATGTATCAGTGTTCATCCTTATTGTACTCTGTGTGTGTGTGTGTGTGTGTGTGTGTGTGAAGATTGAACCCAGGGCCTCAAGCTTACTAAGTAAGCTTTCTACCACTTTCGCCATCCTCCCAGCCCTTTTGTTTGTATTTTCTTTGTGAAATACAACCTCACTAATTTTGCCTGGGCTAGCTCCAAATCCTGGTAATCCTTCCTCCAGCTTCTAAGTAGCTGGGATTATAGGCATGCACCACCACGCTTCCCATCCTCATCGTGTTTCCCTTTTCTGTAAAGCACCATTTATTTCCATTAACGTTTTCTCCATTAAGACAATTCCCTTGAATCAAAAAAAAAATTCTTAATTTTCACTAACATATTGCAGTCTTATAGGCTTGTGTATAACAACAGGTGTCAAGATTACTCAAAGTTCCCTTTTTGCAATCAAAATACAAATAACAGACATGTAATTGCTATGTGGCTGTGTCCTGACAGAACCCTCTTTTTCTTTAGATTGTTTTAGGAAAGTCTTTTTCACAATTAAATTTTTATTTTTATAAACAACCCTAAAATGTAAAATTATAAAAGACTAAATGGACCAACAAACGAAAAAATATCACATGCATTTTCAACATTTGGACCACCTCTATTAGCATGTTGCCATATTAGTGTATTTCTTGTTACTCTTCCAGTTTTTTGTTTTTTATTGTACATTGTTGAGATAATAATACTGCTCAAATTATTTTTTCTCACTGCATATTTCACTTAACATTTTCACATACGGAAATATGTGCCAGGGAGCGGGCACTGTACCTTCTGTGGATACTTCAGGGGTATGTGTTCTACATTCACACTGGTGTGTGTGAGGAAGGACAATTAGATAATTTGGCAGGGTTAAGAGTAGAGTGCACAAAACTATAAGAAGTAATAGGTATTGAGCATATCTGGTCTCTAAATCCCTTGGACTGTGTCCCTTAGAACTGCAGGGAAGGGATGTATGGTTATCTACTGCTAATGTGAATAGTGAAGTATTGATGAATCATCTGAGGCTTTGCATGTTGTCAGAGGACTATTTCTTTGGGTTACAATTTTCCAAATGTATGATTTTGTTCCAGCCTCATCCTGTGGTGCTTTCTCCACGTCTCAGCATCTTCCATCACTGGGAACTCCTTTCTCTAAATGTTTGGAGCACTTTATTTTAACTTGCTCCCATTCTCCCCCACACCAAAACTGTATTTGTTGCTTAGAAAGTTCACAGTGTTTTCCCCTCTCATTTTAAATGGTTTTTCCCCAAACAAGACTCTCTTGATTTCCCTTGATAAAACAGTCCCTCATGCTAGGACACCTTTGTGTGATCTGATCCCCTCCCCATCTACATCCAGACTGTTTGGGGATGGGGATGTGACTCACTGGTAGGACGCTTGCCTAGTGTGCTCCAGGCAACCGCTAGCACTGAAAAAAAAAAAAAAAGACGACTTTATTTCCTCCTTGACATTCCTTCATTGGAGAGAAAAATAAAGTGTTTGAAAAACTGTCACGATGCCTCTGGGATATATACTGTTAAGTGTTGAGTTATTAAACTTCAGAACTAATTTATATGTTATATCAAGAGAATAGAACAAAAAGTATGGTTGTTCATGAGAAATGAAGCATGTTTGCTCACAACTTTGTAATATTTCTAGTAAATAATCAAGGTTCCCCTCTGAGTCCCCAAGTGCGGAAAGGAAAGCTATAATTGAATGTCATTGCTGTCAATCACTTGGCACCCCATGGCACCAGTTATGAGGTGTCCCTAGAGTTGTCTCTCTTCTATACTAGCTCTACTTTTTCATCCCTCTTTATCTAGGTATATGTGGGTGTGTGTTGTGACTCTTGAAACAAAAAGGAAAAAGAATCCAGAAGTAGTAAGCTAAAAACAATTAGCATAAATATGGGATTGTCAATTTGAAAAAACTCTTGCTAAAAATAATAGGAACATTGAAAAAAAGAACCTTTTGACTGACATAAGTTTCATGGTGTTCTATATCTTTTACTCTCTGCCTTATAAAAATAGAGCTGATTAATTTAAGTTTTGGCAAAGAAAGGGGAGTATTCTCTGGCCTCTAGCCAAGAATTCCCCTCACTACCACCAACATTCCCACAGAGTCTCTGGCTCCTCAGCCCAGTTTTTCTTCATGTCATTTTCTGGCATTTTTTTCTTTTTAGCCCTTATTAAAACTTAGAACTATAATGTTCATTTATCTCCAAATTTAATGTCTACTTCTCCACTAGAATTCAAGCTGTGTAGGATCCATGTCCCTGTTGGTTGGTCTTATTCAGTCTGCTCACCTTATCTCCCTGGTACCTACCACAGGTCTTCGCATTTGGTTGGGAATCAAATATATATTGACTAGATGAGTAAACAAATGATTTGAATGAGTCAATTATTTTAAGTGGATTCTTAAGCTCTGTCTTGCTTGTGTATTGAGGAAGCGTGTTGACAAAGAGCATGGATTTCTGACAGGACTTTTGTGTTCACTCAGTGAACACTTACCTAGTGCCTGTCACCAGGTCAAGCCCTGGCAATGCCATGTGAATAAGATGTGACTGATGGTCTCTAGGACCTCAGAGATAGACATACATGTGTTCTTCATGGAGGCATGTAAAAGAGGGTTATAAACAGGGCTGTTGGTGAGCAAGGAAGAAGAATTTAAGTCTGCCTGGGGCATTAGAGTTTTCACAGAGCCAGGATATTTGCGCTGGGCCTTGAAGGAAGAGTGGAAGTTTGGCATGTTAAGTAGCAGGAAAGAGCACTGGGGTCAGAGAGGTGAAAATGAATGGCATGTTTGGATAGAATTGTGTATTTTGGTGGGGTGGATTATAAATCCTGCACCAGAAAGTCTGTAGTTGATCTTAAAGAAGCCAGAAAACCTGCTTAAGTGAGGAAGGCTATGATAATAGATAGTTATTAGTGCACAGCAATGTACAGAGTTCATTGTAAGGGAATAACACTACCATTAGGAAACCAAACCATTTACTGAGATTCTAGGTATTTTCCGTCATAATAGCCTTAATGTAATGTTCATAGCAATGTATCTTCCACAGAGATGAATTTTAGAATTTCATAGAGATGAATACTTTGCTAAAGATTGGTAGCTTGTTAAAAATAGATTTTTTAGACAAAGAGTTTCAGTTCATTTTTATATTGAATTTTAGAAACTTTTGTAAATTATATTTTCAAATTGCACCCAGATATTACAGCATAACTCACTGCAGAAAAAAATCTCATCCCACTTCATCTGAAATGAAGTGCCTATATCTTTCTCCCCTGCCCCTTGCAAAGGATAATGCTGTATTTTCAGTGCCTCATAAAAACCCCAAACAAACCCAACTCTTTCTCTTGCAGTTCCACGGCAGCCTTCAAATGACTTGTTTGAAGTATTCGAAATAGAAAGAGGAGTCAGTGCAGATGATGAGGCAAAGGATGATCCAGGTTAGCACTGTTACAACTTTTCATTTCTACTGTCCCAGTTCATGAATATAAATTAGAGGTTGTTCAGTCCCGTTTTGGAAAATCATTTCTTGTCCTCTTGTTGTTTTTACAACTCAATGGTTAAACCAGTTGGGCAAAAATAATTTTGAGTCATTGTTTTCTTTTTAAAATATATTAAAGCGAGATTTGAATTGTGAGAGGGAAATCATATTTTCTCAGTGGTGATGTAACAAGGTCATCAGCTGGCAACACTGTGTGTTTTATTTTTGCAGCTGAGCATGTATGTGCAATTGTGCTGGGAAAGGATTCATGTAATTTCCTTTTGATCTCATGGAAAGAAGTTCTGGTGGGTTATCAAGTGTGGACAGGAGAGGATATTTGTTACATAGAGATCCCTCATTTATAAATTCATTTATTATGGTTTGTTGAGTTTGTGATCTGTTCAGCTTGTGTGGTCATTTCCTCAGGTGTTCTGGTACACAGCTGTAATTTTGATCATGGACTTTGTGGATGGATCAGGGAAAAAAACAGTGACTTGCACTGGGAGCCAATCAGGGACCCAACAGGTAAAACCGTTTCTCTGTCTTTCTAGTACACATTTCAGTTTGTTCCTATCTGCTAAATCAAGGGTGCTATAAGATACCTCTATGTTTATTTAACAAAGGGGGTAAAGAAAAGGTCACGCCCAGTATTTATATTCCTTCTCTTTTAAGTGAAGCAGATTTGTTAGCTCATGATTACAATTATATTATAGGAGACAGGTAGTTAATCAGAAGGCCAGATAATTGCTCTTAAAAAGCTTCACAGATAAAACATTTAGACTTACTCTAGCATATAATTTTCAAGATATTTCAGTGTCTCATTCTAGGAATAAAAGAAGTAAAACAGTAGTGTATCCACCAGTCTAATTGTTCCTGGTTGTTTTTTCAATTAATGACCTTTTGACTTTTTTTTAAATAAAGATTTGAATAGTAGGATGAGGAGAAAATGGAAACTTCTGTAAAGTTGTGATTATCTCTTTGAAAAAAAAAACACTCTAAATTAGATGCTGGAGAAAAAAAGTTATAAATTACCCCCATTTATTCCATGATAGAAGGTTATTAGAAAGGTGGATAGTCCTTTGAAAATTAATAGACTTTTAAATTGCAGAATTCCTATTAATCTAAAGGATGTTTTGTCTAGTTTTAGGAAGCAAAACTGCATGCTGTTGTTTTCTTTCCTCCCCTCAGTAATTAAATCTTTTATGAGTGAGGCCAACTTAATGGACGTGTGAGGAGTTTAGTTTCTTTTTTCCCTTTTTTGTTCTCCTGATTCTATATTCTAAGAATAAAAGACATAAGATATGGACAAAAAGTGTGCTGTTTCATTTACTTTACAAGCCTGATTCTTAAATACTATACCAGGTATTTAAACAGAGCACAAAAGTTAACTTGAATGTGCTTAGGATCCATGAGAACAGTTCTCCAAACTTCAGTGGGCATCCAGAGCAGCTGGGCCTTGTGCAAATGCAGATGTTGATAGACTCTTAATTGGCTCCCTCAGGATAATTACAGTACTGGCCCTCAATGCACATTTGAGTAGCAAGGTATTAAAAATTAGTCCAAGGGCTGGTGGTGTGGCTCAAGTGGTAAAGCAAGTAAAAGGCCCAGAATTCAAACCTCATATAGACAAAAACAAATTGGACATATTTATAGCCTGACATGGTTGTTCATACCTGCAATTCTAGCTACATGGAAAGTAGAGATTAGGAAGATCAAGGTTCAAGGCCAGCACTGGCAAAAATATTAGTGAGACCCCATCTCAACCAATAACTGGTGGGTAAGCAACTGTCATCTCAGCTACATGGAAATCATAAAATAGGAGGATCACAGCCCAGGCCAGCCTAGGGTTGAACGTGAGACCCTATCCCAAAAATAACTAAAACAAAAAAAGGCTAAGGGCTCAAGTGGTAGAGGTCTGCCTGGCAAGTGCAAAGCCCTGAGTTCCAACCCCCCAGTACCACACAAAAAAAATTTTTAGTGCAAAATGTATTTGTTAGGTCTCCTGAGATTAAATTATGACATAAACATTAAAATAAAAAATTGAGGCAAACTTTAAAAAATAAGAATATTTAATAAATTCAAATGGGTTTTTAGATTTCTTTCCATTGTGAAAAATACCACTTAGTGCCTCATTAATAACTAGTGCTCATTCTCATTTCCTTTCTCAAGTTATTCTCATCCATTTAAAGTTAAAGATAGCTACACGAGATGTTTCCTTGTGGCACTTCCATACATAGATATGTGTAGCTTCGTGTCCAGGCTGTCTATCCCATGTCTCTCTACATTACCATGCAGCCCTCTACTTAGCCCAGTGCCCAGAACATCTGCATCATTCTGGGATTTTTCATTCTCCCAAGTCTGGCCTCACTTGTAGTGCATGTGGTCCTGTGGATAGTATAATTAGTAGATTAGACCTGTAGATGGATGACAGGACCTTGGATAATATTCATGGTCACAATGAATAGCACATTTGAGTAAGGAACATTGGGAGTAATTCATGCTAAATTAGAATTCATTGCACTTCTAGGTAGACAGTTTATTTTATAAATAGTCTCTGTAAAATATGCTAAACTGAGTTTTAGAATTTAAACGTGGTATTTTATAATTAATTTAGTATTTTTCAACTTTTTTTTTTTTACCGTTTTAGCATTTACAAATGTTTAAAATTATGATCCAATTTCCCTTGCCCTCTAGTAGAAAAATGAGAGAAGGGTTGGCAATTAGAATGACAGACAAAACATTTGACATGGTCATTGAACTGTGTTAGTACAGAACCAATTCAAAGGATATGGTAGTCGCTTGCATGATGGAATTACATCTGATGATGGGCTTTGGGCCCCTCTCACCAAAGATGCTTTTCTATGGCTGGATCATGTTTTTAGCAACCAGCAAACTGATTACATAAACTGAACTTTGAACTTAGTGAGTAGAAACTGACCTACCTACCATGGACTCAGAGGTGGAGAGAAAAGTCATTGTGTGTGCAGACACAACCAGAATCCAGAAGATTAGATTATTGAGTCACAACTATGAAGATGAAATCTAATGGGGGTAAATTCAAGATGAATTCAATTCATCGTCTAGAAACCAACCACATAGCTGTGGGAGAGAGAAAATGTGACTGAGCACTTAGTGTGAAGGACTCTAGAGTTTTAGTGGGTAATGAAGGCATTCTGAGTGAATCCTGAGAGATTACTTTCAAAGATGAGCAATTTCTTCAAAAATATGGTACTTTTCCAGAATAGAAAATATGCTGCAGTTAAATGTTTCATACACTTTTGAAGATTCCTTCTTCTCTAATAAAAAAGGGTTGATTGCACATCATTCCAAAGGGAATGGTCTAGATAGAAAGGTATCTCAAAGCCTGTGAGAAACAGATGAAGAAACCAGAATGTTTAGCCTGGAGAAGTAATAGAATTGGGTTGCTTTGCAAGTAATTGACCTGGGGTTAGAGTTATCTCTGCAACCATAAGGACACAAGGAGTAGGATCAATGGGCAGAAACTACAGAGAAGTGGATTTTGGTTAATTCTCAGAAAGAACTTCTAATAGAGCTGTCTAAAAAAGAGAACAGGCTGACACTATAGGGGTGAGCTTTCTGTTGGTAGAGGCATTTGACTGGGTGGCATATAGCAAGATGTTGTAAAAGGACTTTTTGAACATCAGATGAGGTTTATATAACCTCTTAAACCAGCTCTGAGAGCCTCTGGTTCAAATGGAAAATGACTGACGTACTCCTAAGGAAACTGGTAAACAGACTTCCAGATTGGGAAAAAGGGAAAACCAAAAATTGGCAGAGAGTTGGAAAAAGGGTAGGAGTGTACAGTGTATGTCTGGATGGAATTCAAAATCTGTTTTCAGAGTATGTTGAGGAATTTGAGCCATATATATTTATGGGAAAGTACTTTATAAAGCTTACTTTTCAAGTCTGTTTTTCTTCTAGGAAGTTCAGGTGGAATGTGGAGGTTTTGGTGGTGGTGGTGGTGGTAGTATGTATGTATATATGTGTATCACATGTGAAAGCCAAGGGGAAACACAAGCAATTTAGTGATCTAATGTTTACATGTTTCCATCTGGATGAAACTCTCCATAAAAGAAATATTTCTTGGATTTCCAACTATGACTGATTTTAAGGGTGTGCAGCTTTTATCTGAAATCCAGATTCGCAAATTTTTTTTGCTAATATTTCTAAGAAACCCTCAATTAAATAAACTTACAACCTTGAGAAAAGACTACAACTTAAGTGCATTTGCTAGCTGTCCTTCCTAGCGCTATCAGGTTTTGCTTATCAGATTGTCTTGAAATGTGAAATTGATACATTCCCTGAAAGAGTGGAAGTTGCTAACTGACATGGTGACATTCTGTAGGCATGTAGCTGTAGATAAGACTGTACCTGGGCCCTTTTCCTGGAACCCTGATTTCTAATGGTAAAGGGTTAAAGGCAACTAACTCTTCCCAGGCATGGTGGCATACATCTGTAATCCCAGCATTCAGGAGGCAAAAGCAGGAGGGTTATGAGTTTTAAGCCACCTCAGGCTTTTGAGCTATGTAGTGAGATCCTGTCTCAAAAAAGAAAAGGTTACTTTCTTATTGAGCACTCTGTGTGCTCTGGGAGGTACAAGTTTACTCAAATACTTAACACCTATGCTAGTGTGTATATAAAATTATGTCTATTGCAGAATTTAAAAATATTTTTGAAATACATATAAATGGAACAATAAATCAACAATGAAAAATTAAAACTCCCTATCATCTCCAGCTCCCATTTGTTCTCCTCAGATGCAGCCATCTAGAGACATGTTTGCACACAGTGGTAGCCTCTCCTGTACCTTGCTGCTTTTTTTTTTTTTTTTACCTAATGATATCATTTTAAGAGTTAAAAAGAACATGGACTTAGAAGTCAGAATGTCTAAGCTAAAACCTACCACTCACTAGCTTTGACCTTGAGCTAGTACTTGAATTGGAATAATCAAAAGTATCTGGTAAATAAAGCATTTCAAGCAGTGCCCAGTCCAGTTACCACTGCAGTGGTGCTAGCTATTGTGGAAGATGCTCACATGTCTACACAGAATACCCTCATTCTTTAGTAATGGTAGACTGTTAGTCCCTTACTCACCAGATGTACCACACGTATCTAACTAGTCCTGAACTGAGGAATATTTAAATTGTTCTCGCTTCTTGGCAGTACAACAATGCTGCCTGGGAATAACCCTGTACAGATGTTGTCTCATATATGTTGACTAATCTCTGTAGAATAAACTCCTAGATGTAGAATTGCTGAGACAAAAGGGAATTTTCTCTTCAAATTTTGATGGATTCTACTAAATCGCCTTTTATAGGGTTGTAGCAATTTATAGTTTCACCAACAAAATTTGAAAACCATCCCAGCACAACTATTATAAAACTGTTTAATCTTTGCCAAGCTTATAGGTGAAAAGGCAACTCATTTTAACTTTAATTCAAATATCCTTCTCTTACGAAAAACTGACCATGTTTTCATCTATTTAAAAATCATATTTAGTGATGCCCTTTATTTTTCTTTTGCTTTTAATTATTGATTTATAGTAGGTCCTTATATAAAAAGGAAAACAATCCCCTTTTCATGTGTTGCAAATATTTTTAAATTTTTGCTTATCTACTTATAAATATTTTTCATCTTTGAAAAGTGAAAATTTAGAAATTTAAATGTTCTCCAAGAAGAAATTGGCTAAATGATTATCTGTGTTTGCTGACATAAAGAAATAGCTGTGATATATTTGAAAATACATATTATTCCTTTAAAAAACAATTCCTCTTCATATGCATGTATTTACTTAGGAAAAGTTCTGAAGTCAAATGTTAGTAATTATCTTTGGCTTTTGGCATTATGGCTTATTCTAGTTTTCTTCATGCTTTCTCTGCATCACTTCTTTATCACTTTTTTGTTAGAAAACAAGTTATTTACAATCAAGATATAAATACCAACACACTGTAATGATATTATTTCTACCTGGGTTTGTTTCTTACCACACCATAAAATACAAATATAATTAATACAAAACTCTCATTTCTTCCTTAGACCACACAGATAAAACATTAGAGTAATGGGTATTATGTTATTTTCTTTGTAAATTAAAATTATAAAAGGATGAACCAGTATAGAATTACAAGTAAGTAAAGTAAACTTTTTACTACTCTCCCAAATCTTTTGGGAGGGGGCAGGACTTGGGATTGAACTCATGGCCTCAAGCACGTCAATTTGTTTGTTTTATTCTTCAGATAGGATCTCATGGTCAGAAGCAGTCCTCCTACCTGTACTTCCCATGTAGCTGGGATTACAGGTGTGCCACCATGTCCTCCTCCCCAATTCTTTAGATTATTGTGATACTTTAAATTGATTGAAGATGTTTAATAAAATTTTATAAGTAAGCCAGTGTTTTGGAATCATAAGTGAAATTTTTATTTAATATGTAACTTGTTTGGGATGTTGGGTTAATTTTTATCTTACTATTCCAACTTTGTAATATTTTCCTTTATTACATAGGGAAATATTCTTCATGGTGAAAAAAAATAGAATTCCTGATAGAGAGCAGCTCGATAAAGGAAGAACAGTTGAGCCTCCATTTATCATTAACTAGATTTTGGTTTTAAATACATATACAAAGGTTTATTTCAATCTTTTATCAGGAAGCCTCAGTTTGTTAGGTTGTTTTATTGGCATGCAGAGTCTAGCAAAACCATATTAGTATATATTCCACAGAGACTTAAGATTATCCTTTGTTTCTTCAAACTTGCATTTTCACTGTAATGATCTTATATCTTAGACTTAACCTGAGTACTTGTGATGATTCAAAAGCTGACTTAGACATTGAAAATTCCTGTAAATATTTTACCCCAAAATGTTTTTGGATTTATCTGTGGGAAAAAGGAGTGACAATAAGAAGGAAAGAAGAAAAGAAATTGCATGTTTTTAGTGAATCAAGGACCTTATTTCCCAGGAGTTTTTTTATTGTATTTTTGGAACATCATTCATTTACTCAACTACGACCTTAAATAATGTATGCTAGGAGTGTAATGAGGGAGGCGCAGGGTAAAGTCGATTCTGACTTCACATTGTTCCCGGCCTCAGAGAGCACTTAGCACAAAACATGGGCACATCATAATTTGTCAGAAATCACCTGTGACCTACAAGAGCTCCTAGGGGACTTGGTAGAGGAGAACACACTTGAATAAGAGGACATCCCAAATCTTACCATGTCTTATATAAAATAAGAAAGGAGATACTGGCCAGGCTCTGGTGGCTCACATCTGTAATCTTGGTCACTCCAGAGGCAAAGATCAGGAAGACCACAGCCTAAGACTAGCCCAGACAAAACCAAGGCACTATCTCAAAAAAAAAAAAAAACCCAACACAAAAATAAAAAATAGGACTGGCAGAGTGGCTCAAGTGGTAGAGCACCGGCCTAGCAAGTGTGAGGTCCTGAGTTCAAACCTCAGTACTGCCAGAAAAAGAAAAGAATATTGATGCTGACCTGCTTTTCAACTGAAAAATAAATGGGGCTTCTACCAAAGCAGGTACATGTGTTCAGCATTCCCAGCACATTTTTCCTGTGGACAAATCAGTGTTGAAACATAGTGTGTTTTAAAGTTGGCTGAGATAAAAACCACCTGGAGGGAATGCCATTTGTACATGGATTGAGTTTCAAAGTGCTACTGGTAACTTTCCCTTGAGAAGCAGTGACTCCACTGCTTCTTAAACTTTTTTTTTTATTAATATTGCAGTTTCCTAACAGCAGCTCTGTAGGCCTAGGGATCTGATGACATCAGCAAAGTGATCCCTCCTAAGATGAAAGGTTTTAATTATGTTTTTGTGTTCACTGATATATGATAGGATGTATGTATAAAATAGACAGAAGTTTACAAATTTAAACCACTAACACTCACTCTGCCCATGGAGAATAAAAGTTATGCCAAAGTCATACAGTAATTAGTAATCCAAACAGATTGATGCTGCAGGAAACTGTGGAGGATTTTTGGACACCTGTGTTTTTCTGAAAAGCATAGCAAACACCGAGTGTTTTAAAAACATCCTTGTGTATATTTAGAGATTTTTATTTTTTTATACAGTGCTCTTTAAATGAACACATGATTTACTACCCAGAAGTTAATTATCCACATGGAGAAAATTTTCCCAGGAAATCTAGGGTGAATTCTACCAAACTACCCAGCCAGATTTGCAGGGGTGTTGGATAACACAGTCATAAGTCAGTAAGGATCAGAAGGTGCTGATTGTGTGTACACGTGTGTATGCCAATCATATAATTGCTGTTTGGATCACTAATGTAATTACTGTATGACTTTGGCATAACTTTTATTCTCCATGGGCAGAGTGAGTGTTTTTCGTAAAAACCGTAGAATTTAAGCAGGCATAGAAATAAGTCATATTTTTCTCCCTCAAAACTCTGGAATACTTTAAAGTCTGAACTTTATTGAAACAAAACGTAAATCTCATGCCATGCTGTTTATGTAAGAAAGGGATATTGGCACACACAACAAACAGCCCTGCTTTTCCAATTCCAGGTGGACAGTATCTGACAGTATCGGCAGCCAAAGCCTCAGGGGGAAAAGCCGCTCGCTTGGTGCTACCTCTTGGCCACCTCATGCATTCAGGGGACCTGTGCCTCTCGTTCAGGCACAAGGTGACTGGGCTGCACTCTGGCACACTGCAGGTGTTTGTGAGAAAACATGGTGCCCATGGAGCAGCCCTGTGGGGAAGAAATGGTGGCCATGGCTGGAGGCAAACACACATCACCTTGCGAGGGGCTGACGTCAAGAGCGTAAGTAGATCCACAAAGGAAGCAGAACCTGGGAGGTTTTCCTTTCATAGGATAACCCTGGGATCTGAATTTGAAGCAGCCTTGCCCTATGAATTCAGGCTCATACAATGGTTTGTGGGTTTTCTCTGGGCATGATAATTCCATTCATAGCCTCTTTCTGAACGTTCTTTCTGCTTCTTCATCCTTCATTGCAACTTTTGACTACCACCACTCTCTCCTTTCTGTGAAGTCCACTATTTTTAATGAAAAAACTCAGAATAAAGAAGAAAACAAAAAAGAAAAACATTTACAGAAACTTCAAAGGGTTCGGGTGGCATGCTTAATTTTGCCTGCATTTCCTTTTCCTTAAATTCCTTGACCTTCCAACTTTTACTACCATCAATTACTATGGAGATGGTTACTTTTTCTAGTTTAAGTGTTTCTTTGAAGTTCATTTTTCCCCCTTGTTAAGCAGTCTGAAGTGGGAACCCAGAACTACAATTGGAAAGCACTATTCTGTTCAGGATAGGAAAAGCTTTGATTGAACATATAAATTTTAAGTCAGTCAAGTCCTAGAAGGCAAGAAAACGATCCACAACATCCCACCAAAATAATGAGTACATTTGAAAAAAATTTCTTCTTCATGTTAATTCTTATAAAAACTTTGCTATAAAGAGATTACATCTAGACTTACAGGCGTAATTTCTAGAAACTAAGAAAAGATAGACTCCATTAGTAGAGCTTTTATTAGGACACCTGAATGTAGTTTTACCCTTTGATTTTTTTCTTAAAATTTTTCCAATATTTATATAACTTGGAGAAATAAAATAAGGAAAATAAATTGTTTCAAACCATAGCATTGAAAGGTCTGACTTGTTTTAAAAGGATAAGGGATGCTCTTCAGAAGATAAAATGCAAAAGTAGTGAAAGCTTTTGGTGTCTACATATGTAGTTGGATGTGGTATTTCATTTGGTTACAATTTTGGCAGTAAAGTTATATTAATCAAAAGGAGGAAGTAAGAGATATACAAGATAGGCAGCACGATTGTAGTCTTTCAGATCCTTGGCTCTTAATATCTGCACCTTTGTATTCCATCACATTCTTCTTCCTTCTAACCTTGGCAGTCTTTGACAAAAGTACCCACTTTATAAGCATTCCTAATGTGAATTAGTCTGTAGTTTAGAATGGCTTCATAAAGAGTAACAGATTCTGACTACTGTGGTCTGATGAAAAGTTTACTGATAATGATTTAAATTTCCTTGAAAGATAAGCAAGCCTCAGTGACACTGGCAACTATGTTCTAGTCTCTTCTCCTGCTACATAGCTTAATATTTAGTTTTGGGGGAGGATTTCCTTTTAATTTTGTTAAGTGAGCAGCCATTGGAAAGGGGCAGAGGAAGCTTGACTGGTGTGTGCATTCTCTCCCTAGGTCATCTTCAAAGGTGAAAAAAAGCATGGTCACATTGAGGAGATTGGATTGGATGATGTGAGCTTGAGAAAAGGCCATTGCTCAGAAGAACGCTAGCAACTCCAGAACTAGCAATGAACTCCTAGGTTGCTCCCTTTTCTTTCTCCAATCCTCACCTTCTTTCCTCTGCTCCCTCTTACCGGGCCTAGGGGAAGAGTGGGTTAGTGGGTCAAGAGGAAGGCTGGATGGTGACCCATGTCTTGTTGGCCTGCTTTTGTGCAATCCCAGTGACACCCTCCTTGAGGTACAGGCCCATATGTAGACACATCTAAGCCATTTTGGTGTGTTTCCTTCCATCCTGCCTCCTTTTAGCATGTGTGACCTGTGCCATCCTTCATCCTGGTTGCAGAGTGCTCTTTGTAGCAATTCATGGGAGAAGTTTTCAAAACAAATCTGTGCAAATAGCCATTCTGTTATCTGTTCAGTGTTGTACCATGAGTAGTAAGTATTGACTTTCCTTAAGACATGATGTACAGTGTACTTGTGAAATTGTTTATCCTTCTCACTTAAGTGAGTTCCGGCCTGACCTGAACTCTGACTTTTACTGTCATTCGCTTTATAAAGGAAGGATGTAATAACATATCAAGATGCATTTATTCTTGTTATCTGAATTTTTCTTTTAAAGACAATTATGTAGAGTGGGCATGGAATCCCTTGTTAGTAGTACTGTGTTTTGTGTAAATGTTCTATTAATACTAAGTATTTACGTGTTCCTAATATTTACAGACTCTAGTTCAAGGTAAAAGGCAGCTTGTGATCTCTTGAGTTAAAAAATACAAGGTGAAATGCTATCTAGTTCTATGAACTTGGGTTGACAGCAAGACAAAACCGGCAGAGGCGTGATGTTGTGTTAATGGTATGATGAATTTTTTAAATGGCCTTGAATGTAATCTCTGCAAAGGAAAGTAAACCATTTAGAGAGACAAGAAACTGTAGTTCATTTAGAAAACCCACACTGTTTTGTGTTATACTTTAAAGCTGACAGTTCTTACCATCATCACGTTGTTCTCTTTGGTAATCCATAAGAATCTTTGTCAAAATCCTGGTTGTTTCAGAGAAGCAAAGTGAGAGGAAGCAAAGGGGAGATTCCATGGGAATAATGGTCATCCTGAATTTTAAACTGCCACAAGTTTCGACAGGTGTAGCTCCTAGGACATGCTGTGTTAAAGTGGGATAGGAGCCAATCCTTGGCTGTATTGGAATGGGATTCACATGCTAGAGGAGGACAAGATTGGAATTCTAACATCTGTGAACCCCCAAATGTATCTTCTTCCTGTATATCTTATCTATATTAAAAAACACATAACTTTAAAAAATCAACTTACTCCTTAGGCTTTTTTTCATTTCTCATTAAGTAATCAAAATATTTTCTGCTGTTTTTGCCAGGAATCATAAAGATGATTAAAGGGTTGGGGGAAAAAAGATCTATGATGAAAAATTAAAGGAACTGAGATTTATTCAGCCTGGAGAAAAGAAGACTGAGGGGCAAACCATTGATGGTTTTTAAGTATAAGAAGGGTTGGCACCAAGGGGATGGTGACCATCTGTTCTCGATATGCACTAAGAACAAGAAGAAGCAGGCTTACAATAGAGTATGAGGGAGTATTTCCTGGCATGGATAGTTGTTACTACATTAGAACCCTTTACGAAAAAGAAGTGTGAAAATTCATCTGCCTTTCCCTCTGCTTTAAAAAAAGCTACATAAAAATGTACTTATTTAAGATGTATTTACCTCAAGGTAAAGTAACAGACTGCAGAATCTCCCAGATATTTTGATCTTCCTACTAGTATGTAATGAACGTGTCCAGAGCTAAGTAATTTAGACAAGGCTCTAAGTTAGGCATTTCCCTCTTACTCTCCTAATGGAAAGACAACAAAAGAGGAAGATGCTGAGCTAAAATATCTTTCCCTTGGTGACAAACCTAGCAGTATTAAAACGAAAAGCCAAATAAAAAAATAAATAACAAGAACAGAAAAACCACTCCAAAACTCTTTATTCTTAAAGAGGTTGTGATGGACAAATATTTTAGCATCTTAGTAATGTCCTAAGGTGGTGGTGTTATTTCTTTTTCTTGGTAAAGGTCTGAACCTTTCACTTTCTCAATAGATGCTGTTTTTTTTTTCTTTTCTTTTTTTTTTTAAGAGACCCTATCAGGGAAGATAGGTCAGAGAGAGTTTTGTCTTCTGCATTTGTCACACAAGTTATGTGTGACAGATTAACTTGGCCACTGAAACACCTCCACTAGAACTTTCTTTCACCTCATCAGTATCAGTCCCTATCAATTGGAATCTCTTAAGTTCCATATAACAGTAAGTTTTTTGAAGAATAGGGCCAAAAGAAGGTCCTTTGTCATTTAACTTGTTAGACACGAGGCTGGAGGGGGAATATAAATCATTGAGCCTTTGAATAAAGGCCAGAAAATACGGTCTTAGATCCATTTTTAATGATTCATTTCCTTTTGGTCATACAACTGCACAGCCGAAGATGAAAGGGGAAAATAATTGAAAAATTCACTTTTAGGTGCCAATAATACATTGCACTACACACTGATGTAAAGAAAGAAGAAGTTATCCAAAGTACTGTATAACATCTTGTTTATTATTTAATGTTTTCTAAAGTGAAATATGTTAGTGGTTTTCCAAATGGCCAAGTAAAAACAATTCTTTGTAAATAAAAACACTGTTAATAATATCAGCTGTCTGTTGTTTTTGAGTTCTGTTGGGTTTTTTTGTGACTGGAAAGAGAGATTGATATTTCATAAAAGCTGTCTGTAGTAGAAATTCCTTCACTGCTTAGGAGATTGGGGATGATATTACCTATGATTGGGGAAGATATTATACTTTCTGTGTTACAAAATGAGGCAATTTCGCCAGCATGCACAGCGAGGGAAAGAAGTCAAACGACCACTATAATCCATGTTGTGCCTTAACAAACTACTTGTATTTTATAGTTTCATTATCAACACTTGCTTCAAATTCTTTTATGGAAGGGAAGCATAATTTGAAAGTAAATACATAAATGTATATGCATTATAAATGAAAAGTCTTGTTTAGCAGTGATTTTTAAAATTTATATCACTTTATTCATACTTCAATAACTTTTTCTGAGGAGAAAAAAACTATAAAGAAACAAAAACTGAAAGAATAAGACTTAGTCTATGTACAGAATTGTGGCGAATATATGCAATGCCTTTCTTTCTTTCCAAAACTTGAGAATTCCTACTGGCTACAAGACTAAAAAAGCTAAAAATTAACCCATTACTCATAAACTGATCATTTAATTTCTAAGAGTATAGATTACTACCCTATAGGTTCTGTTCCATTTTTCATGTACATCTTCAGTTTCTAAGTCAAGCCCCCTTCTGTGTGTGGATTCACTATAGGATTCCCTATGTGTTAATTGCATAAAATAGTGGCTCCCATCTGGATGGTTTTGATCCTCAAGGGACATGTGATAATACCTAGAAACATTGTGGTTATCACAACTTGGGGCACTGCTGGCATCTAATGGGTACAACTGAAGTATGTTTCAGAAGTCACATCTGTGACTCACAGGCCTACCTCACATCTTTTGAAATGAATCAACAGAATAAGGTACCTAGGTGATTCCTATGCCCACTGAGGTTTGCAAAGTTACTGCTGTTGAGTATAAGACTTTCTAATAAGCTTGGTTTTCTCCCATAAAGGAGCCCCTGTGAAACAAACCTTTCCATCCTTACCATGCTGCAGAGCAGTGGGTTCTCCCAAGATGGCCCTGAAACCAGGGAATTTGCTAGAAATGCAGACTTTCCAGCCCATCCCAGACCTACACAACCAAACCCTGGGTAGGGCCCAGCAGTCTGGCTGTTAACAGCTCTTCATGGATCCTCATGCTACCCAAAACTTGAGAATCACACCTTGATGGTGGCTGTTCTGGATCACGGACACACACAGGGTGCCCTGCCTCCTGCCTCAGTTCACTGAGCACCTCTCAGTACCAGCACTACTGGAACCACTATGCAATATGAGGTTCAATGTGGCTTTAAGACCAATTCATAATTAGTAGAACTTGAATTGATGTTATTTCATTGGTACTGTCAATAATGTTTTGTTTATACACTGAAATTGTGCAGTTTACAAAGTGCTGTCCATGATATTTCAGTCAGCCCTCTCTGTAATCCAAGGATACGATATAATTGCTTCCTGAAACAGATGAGGAAATTGAGTTTAAGAAAGAGTAGGTGAGTTGCTAAAAGACATGGTATAACAAGGGACATGGCTAACCTGGGATCCCAAAGGCATCATTTGCAAAGAGATCTTCTGCCAGCTGTTTCAAATATTAATTACAGGAGAAGTTTCAAATTCAGCTAAAATCTCCAAAATGTTTTCTGTATTCAGGAAAATGAATGGTAGACATTTATATTAATGAGGAAAGACTCATGAAGAATAAAATTCACAACTTTTTAAAGACTCAATAACTGAGTGTGAGTACACAAACACAGCAAAATGTTCACAGTTGGTGAGTGTAGGTAAAAGAACTGTGAGTCTCATTGCACAATGCCCATAACTTCTCTTTGAAAAATGAAGTCCATAATCAGTATTTATTTCTCTGCCCAAGTAGATTTGATCCTATACTTCTTACTCATCCTTCTGCACGCCTTCAAGCTTCCTGTGAAACAACTTGTAAATTAAAAAAAACTTACCTATACTTGCCATGTGAGAAAGTAGGGAACAGAAGAGTAACAAGTCAAATGCAGTTATGTCTTTCTTCTAAAGTGAAGCTTATTCATTTATGCTAATAACCTTTCCTGGGGTCAAAATGCACTGTCAAAAGTGCAGTTCCATGATATTTCAAGATGAGATGGCTCATGCCTGTAATTCCAGCTACTGGGAGGCATTGGAGAAGGGTCACACACTGAGACTGGCCCTGGCAAAAAAAAAAGCATGAGACCTTATCCAAAACTTAACTTAAAAAAGGGCTGGAGACTTGAGTGCCTAGCAAGTATGAGGCTCTGAGTTCAAACTCCAGTGCTGCAAAAATAAATGCGAGTTTCTATTTTTATTAATAGGCTCATGCTTTGTCTAACCCCACTCTCAGAGCAATCTTGGGGACTTCAACAAATCTGGCTTTTGTTTTGCTGCTGTGACCTCTGAGCTACAGTGCTCAACCGTGGTAGCCAGAGACCACATTTGGCCACATCTAAGGGACGTTTTACAAACTGTTCTTTCTACTCGTATACCACTTCTCTCCCTTTTCATGGCTTGTGTTTCTTAAAAGGCTTTGGCTTAAACGGTGGGTTGGAAAAAATAGCTAGAAAGACCATTAGTGAGACAACTAAGGAAATTCAATTTGGATAATAACATTCCTGTCAAAAATGAATGATTGTGCCTCCACATGTCCCCAGACCACATGGGAGGAACCGCCCTGCCAAACTGGGCTTTGGTACTTGTGACTTACTCTGTGAGGACAGCAAGGAACTTAAGAGCTAGCAGCTCCAGATTCTTTCACAATTTACAAATAGTTTTCATTTAATCTCTCATTTGATCTCATTTGATAAGAATGATTCCCTTATTTGACTGTAGGGCCT